GTTCTTTTGTCGTCAAGGTGATGTCTCTGCTTTTTCAGATGCTATCTAGGTTTCTCATCACTTTCCTCCCAAGAATCAGGCGTCTTTTAATTTTGTGGCTGCTGTCACCATCTGCAGTGATTATGGAGTCCAAGAAAGTAAAATCTGTCACTGCCTCCATATCTTCCCTTTCTATAAGCCAGGAGGTGATGGGACCAATGGCCATGATCTCAGTTTTTTTGATGTTGAACTTCAGACCATTTTTGACTCCTCTTTCACCCTCATTAAGAGGTTCTTTAATTCCTCCTCACTTTCTGCCATCAGAGTAGGATCATCTGCATATCTGAGGTTGTTGATAATTCTTCTGGCAATCTTAATTCCAGTTTAGGATTCGTCCAGTCCTGCCTTTCGCATGATGTATTCTGTATATAAGTTAAATAAGCTGAGGCACAATATACAGCCTTGTTGTACTCCTTTCCCAATTTTGAACCAATCAGTTGTTCCATATCCAGTTCTAACTGTTGCTTCTGGTCCCACATATAGATTTCTTAGGAGATAGATAAAGTGGTCAGGCACTCCCATTTCTTTAAGGATTTGCCATAGTTTGCTGTGGTCCACACAGTCAAAGGCTTTTGCATAGTTAATGAAGCAGAAGTAGATGTTTTTCTGGAACTCTCTGGCTTTCTTCATAATCCAGCACATGTTAGCAATTTGATCTCTAGCTCTTCTGCCCCTTCGAAATTCAACTTGTACTTCTGGGAGTTCTCGGTCCATATACTGCTGAAGCCTACCTTGTAGGACTTTGACCATAACCTTGCTAGCGTGTGAAATGAGTGCAATTGTACAGTCTACATCCCAATCGCAAAGAAGGGCAGTGCATTCTATGGCACTGCCCTTCTTTGGGATTGGGATGTAGACTGATTTTTCCAATCCTCTGGCCACTGCTGAGTTTTCCAAACTTGTTGGCATATTGAGTGTAGCACCTTAACAGCGTCATCTTTTAAGATTCTAAATAGTTCAACTGGAATGCCATCACCTCCACTGGCCTTGTTGTTCGCCATGCTTTCCAAGGCCCACTCGAGTTCACTTTCCAGGATGTCTGGCTCAAGGTCAGCAACTACACTATCTGGGTTGTCCGGGACATCAAGATCTAATTTAAGTTTGTACTGGAGATCGCAGTCAGTTGGGTATCTGGCTGCAGAGCCAAACGTCAGGGGTTTGATTCCCCTCTGGGTGTTCTGGGGAAGAGCAATCTAGTCTTGGGCAATCTATGCAGTCCTGGAGCACCTCTAGAAGAAGGTACAAGTAAATCACTGCTGTTTACAGGAGAAATTTAAGGATTTAAAGATCTAAGGAATTGGACTTATTTAGCCCACAGAAGCACTCTTGGAATTATGAACAGCTGCCCTTCAGAGGAAAGACATGTTCTCTCCTATCTCACATGGGTTTATTTTATGGGAGGATATAATGTAGTTGCATCTTAGGAGAAATATCTTAATAGCAAGGGCAGTTCAGCAATGACACCCATTACATCTCAGGTAGTCTGCTCTCCCCTATAAGATAGCCTCATGCAGAAGCTGGACACTCATCTGTTAGGGATCTTGTAGTTCCAGAATTCTTGTATCAAGCAGGAGGCTGAACTACATGGTCTACTACACGCCTCTCAAATGCTATGATTTTAACTAATGGCAAAATGGCAAGGAATGAATTAATCAAGATTCAATTTAAACCCACAGAAAACAAAAGTCTGCTGAAAATGGGCAACAATATCAAACTGGACTATATCATGCTACAGAAAACATAGGTCTGCCACCATAAATCCTAGCTGCATTTTGAGTCTCACTTTTGTTTTCCAAATCATACAAGATCCCTTATCCAGTACTCTGACATGACAAGATGTTACATGCTTTCAATATGTTGCAGCCTACAGACAGGAGGATGTACAATTTGATGACATAAGAACACATGTCAACCTACGTTGAATGTTACATGCAGTTTATCCCTAAAAAGACTAACTCTATGGCCTAGTTTTAAAAAAGAGCAATTGAACTAGGACACCTACGGTGAACTATACATTCTTCAGATTAGATGTAGACTCATATGGTTGCATGATGCTCCCTATCAAAACAAAAAATAAAACAAACAAACAAAAACCCATAGGACTGATTCTAGTTTAATCTTCTCCCTGACAATCTAGTTTTCTATATGCTGGAATGTGTTTTGTCTGGGAGCATACCATTATGTGTGAGACACAAACACATAGGGTTACCACCTCACCTACAGCTTGGGAGAAGCTGGTTATCTATATACTAGTATTATCTTCCACTTCCTCATATAAGTTCAAAGTGATGTAGTTTGTCTCTCTCTCTCCCTTGTCTTTACAACAACTTCAAGAGACTAGCTCCAGTGACTTTAGTAAGCTTTGTGGCTGAATTGGAATTGGAACCTAGGGTTTTCCTCCTCTCTTCTACTATAACCCCTTTATCACACCGGCTAATATGACTGGGGCAATACTTTATGTACCTCTTTTTATATTATAATCTCTTTTGCACAACAGACATTATTTTAAGAGTGCAGCCCTTAGGAAATTACTAAAACTCCTTCTGGCTGTCATCTGACAACTAACTGAGCCCTCCTTTTTTCCTACACATTATATGGAGAAACTCCCATCCTGTTCTGTTATTTCGGAAGGAAGAAATTTCGAACCTAACTACTTTCTGACCACTGGCAGATAACTACCCAGTTTTTTTAAAAAAAACAACAACAAGAAAACCCTCAACTGGCTTGCATGCTCTTAAAGGTGTATAATTAGAAGACAGGCATTCCAGACATGGTTGCTTCAATGGAAAACAGTATTATTATATTAAATTAAGGAAGAGAGAGAGAGAGAGAAACTACTTCTCCACAAGGTTATGGTAAAAAAATAGCTTTGCTGCAGTATAACACTAAGTTAAACTCAAACTTTCTATAAAAATACAAACATTTATATTTATGTATTGCTCCTCTTTGCTTAATGTGCCCTGAAATCAGCAGCAGATCTGACTCAATAACACCCTGAAGTTCTCCAGCTTTATACAAGACAGCAAAGCCTGTATAACTGCAGGAGGATGAAGAATATCAACAATATCTGGTAATTCCGGATTTTAATAAAATCTTAAACATATTCAGGAGTTTGTGAATCTTCATCTATATTCAGTTGCAAATTTGAAAGTGAATGATAAAAGAAACATAGGCTGATGCTAGGAATTTTGTTGAGTCTTCATTCCCCTACACCATCTAATAAAATACACCTTGCATCGTTATTCCTTCAGCGTAAGATTTTGTTCCTGCCACCTGATTCAAACATCTATAAGACAGCTTTGCAACCAATTAAAATATGTAAACATGTAGCGGGCACACTGAAGTCTCTAACAACTCAGGCCTCCACTATGTGCTCACTCCTCTTCTCAAGTAGCTGCCACCAGGTACTGCTGATCCAATACCAAATATTCACTGACACTTATATTTACTTTAAAACTTAAACTTGTTTATTTGATTACATAAAAGAAATAAGTAAATCACAAGCAGATAATCAATTTCTTTCAATCACTGAACATTCTAATACACAGACCCTGCTCTCACTGACTCATTAACACACTGCCTTCTCGCTCAGATCTCTACACTCTCTCTCCTCTCTCTTCTCACACAATCTCCTCAATCTCCCTTGCATACATCACACACCCCCATTTATATCCCAGCTCCTCCCTCTTTAGCACCACCTTCCGTTCACTCATTGGCTCTTTTTACATTACTCAGCTGTGACGGACAGGTGAGGGCAGGGCTGAACGCTACAAACACAAAATAGAACAAAACAAAAAGCACGCAACCCCATGAGTTCCCAAAATCAAATTTAACTTAGACAAACATATTCACTGCACATTAAATCGCTAATTATCTTCACTCAATTTCATGTAGATGATAAATTGCATGGGAGATAGAGTGGAAACTTGCAGCACCATGCAAACCAAGTTCTATGATCTGCTTTCCATGAACTAAAATGGTATATATGGAGATTTTCACAATTTAGAAAAACTACCATAGATGAAGCCATCCTCTGAAAATCTATTGCATGAAAGAATATTTTCATATGCATATACTCAATTCAGAGATAGGGGTTTTTTTTTTCAGAGTGAATTATAGTACAATAAACACTGTCTATTCCAGCAATGGTGAGCCTATGGCACGTGTGCCACAGCTACCACGTGGAGCCCTTTCTGCTGGCACGCGAGCCATAAGTCGCCAGATCGCTCCTCCCCCCCCAAGCAAGCCAAACCTGAGAAGGTGGCTGCAGCCGCGGTGCTGGCGCTTTGGCAGGTGGATCTGGAGCAGCTGGGGCTGGCAGCGGATCCAGAGTGGGGTCTTGAGGCACCTCCATGCCAGGATTCCCCCTTCCGCTGCCAGTTCCAGTTCTGCCTATGCTGCTGCGGTGGCAACACATCACCCTGTGTGTCCCCCCCACCTCAGTTTGGGCATGCAAGCCCAAAAAGTTTTGCCACCACTGGTCTATACTATAAAAACTCATTTTCTGTAAACTCTGGTCAAACAGTTTTTTCAGGTGTTCCAGAAACCTGTATGCTTTATTAGATCCTATATGACAGTGGCACAATGGAAATTAGTGTGTATGTCTCAAGAAATAGTTCCTTAATTATAGCATTTTCAATCCCCTTTTTATATTAGAAATACCTTGTTTACAGTTTCAGTGATGACTCCCTTTTAAAAATGCTTGCAGGCTGCAATCATATATCCACTTACCTGGACATGAATCCCAATAAAGTCACTTACTTTAAAATAGATTTTTTATTTATTTTATTTATTTTATTTATTATATCCCGCCTATCTGGTCAGTTAAGACCACTCTTAACAGTATCATGCTGCTTGTCCTTAGCGACTCTTTGCTAAGGTAGTTTGATTCTATCTGCATGGGTTATGAAGGCTTTTTTGCTTAGGCTACTACTACACGAATTTGGTGCAGCATAACTTACCGCCGATTGAGTTGCTCCATTTGTTGGATTGAGCCTGATCTGCGTATTCCATCAGGAGTAGCTGCTGCTGTTGGACGCTGCCAAGTTGTGGTTCGATTAACATGGTCAACATAGAATACTCGTCCATGGCTATCAATGCGAGCTTCCCAGTCTTGCATCAAACATTTTTAGGAAAGATAGAAAATGGAGTAATTTGTCTACAGACATTCAAAAATCCAACCAATAGGAAAATCCAGAAATGAATGACATAAATGTAGCATTATGAAAATTGTTTACAAAACCAAAAATATGGTGCTCCATCAAACTGCACAGAATTTCTACCGGGCGACATCCCCAAATCAATTCAGTAAAACTCACACTGATTGGTTATATCAGCATTGCTATATCCTGTGTTTACAGTTTGGTGCCTGAGTGTTAATCCAAAAGCAGACATAATTACATGTATTTTAAATATGTCTTGTATGCATGATATTCTCACTAATGTTTGTGAGAGTCATAATGATAGCATTCAAATAATTAAATCAACAAACATTCCCTCATCCCTTAATACAAGGACACCATGGCAATTTCAGTTATGTGGACTGCCTCACAAACAGTTTCTGGCTTTACCAACATCTACAATGCAGGAAAATGAGGCACATTGAGAATTTGTGCCTTAGGGCAGGGGTCCACAACCCCCGCTCCGCGGCCTGGTGACGGTCTGTGGCCTTGGCAGGACCAGGCCGTGGAGACAGATCTCCCCCCCTGCATGCCCTCTCCCCCCACAGCCCACCCACCTGCACACACAGGTGCCTCGCCCACTCATAGGTGCATGCGAGCGTGCCCCGCCCACCTGCAAGTGCCCCGGCCATCTGCGTATGCACGTGAGCATGTCCCTCCCACCTGTGAATATGCCCTGCCCATCTGCACATGCGCATGAGCACACTCTGCCCACCTGCGCATGTGCAAGCACCTCCCACCCCCATGAGCGCAGGGGTGTCCTCCATGCATGGAACCCACTCCCCAACCAGTCCGCAGTTCAGAAAAGGTTGGGGACCGCTGCACTAGGGGCTGAATGTGGGAAGGACTGAACAAACTGGACAGCACATGTAGCTTTTAATGTAATCTTATATCATTTTTGCAATTTTGTCACTTCCAATCCTTTTTCAATCTTCTGTGTTAAAGCTACAACCAAATCAGAGTTGAGAATGAAACAGCTAAGTCTACTGAAATTAATAAAGGTGTCCTCATACACCTTAAATCACTCTTCATGCTCCAAAAGGCTTCTGTATCTCAATTCATGTCTCAGTATCTTGTACATTCTCTCAAAGATCTCTAACAGGGATTAGAAAAAGAATTTTGCTTGATTCCATACACTGCTTTATTCATAAAGCCTCAGGATGTTAAGATGAAAGCACATCTTAATAAGTAAATTATAGATTTTAGAGATGTTTGAGACCATGCATAACAGCAGCTGGTAAGATGGCATGTTCTGCAAGACACACAAAGCAAAGAACCAGAAGATGACTTGTTGGGGATCCAAATCAATAACCTTAAGATGCTTTGAAAGTAATCAAACAAGCAAACATGCACTGTTTGGACACTTATAGACACCATTCTTTACCCAGCTTACAATGACATTAATCTGGAATTGTAACAGTCAGACTGCAATGTGATTCAATAAATCATGTAGAAAGCCTTTGCATATCATTGCTAATACAAATGGAAACCTAGAGTTAGAAATTGCTCAGTTTAATTGGAAAGCATCATGCTCCTATGACAAGCAGTGGGGAAGGATTGTAAATGCTCCCTCAACCCATTTATTTAAATCCATTTAGTAAACAGTGAACACTTCTGCAGGACTGCTTCTGGAGAATTTATTAGCAGGCACCCACAGACAATTGAGACATCCCCATCTCACATTTGGAGCTATTTCAGTTATGACATGGAGTTATGACACTACATAATAAACTACAGTTATGACACTACATAATGCCACTTAGCCTAACTTCAAAAAATACCTGTAGAAAGAACATATATATTAGCAATTGAATATGTACTCATGTGCTGAGAATGATAAATAGAATGTCAAAACAATGGGGAATACAATGACAGAGAGGCATAAATCCAGTTAGGTTAGGAATCAACTTCTGGCTGGATCTTGGACATGCTTACTCAGAGGTCCTAATTAATTATTAAGCATTGTGCCCAAGTAAAAGTATTTGGTCCTGGAGCCATTCAGCTATGTCTTATGTATGTTCACTCAGTAGCAAATCCTGCTATGTTTAGAGGGTTATATTGAAAGAAAGTGATTGCTAGCAGATATTGTTGAATTCCAGTCCAAGTGCCACTAAAAGCAATTAGATCATCTGTATCAAAAGGACATAATTTTAGAAGTAATGGGGCTGGTGGGTGTATCAGCTGTTTTTAAGATACAGAGAATATCTTGGATATCTCTCTCAGAAGACCTGGTGTGAACATGCTGTGGATGTGTGTAACATACATCATACTTAGACCAGGAATGGGAAACTTGTGTCTCTGCAGATGCTGTTAGGCTACAACAGGCATTAACTTTCACAGTTGGCTATAGTGGCTAGGGCTGATGGCAGTCACAGTCCAACAACATCTGGAAGCCTACAAGTTGTCCATCTATGCCTTCAATCCAAAGCTTGGAACTAACATGTTTTAAGGGATGAAGTGATGATATTAAGCCTAATATATTTCTCCTGGGGGTAACACTAATGTTTATAAAAATAGCATAATGACAGCTAAGATGGTTATATTTTTAGTACAACAGGTACATGTATTCAATATGCATTTGGTGCTGTTTTTTAAAAATGATTCAGAGGATCGTAGATCATATTTATGTGCATGTTTTTAAAAATAAAGTTACTAAAATGTAACAAATCAATAATATATTGCCCTTACAATAATAGGTAACAGCAAGTTATTTCCAGAAAGCATTGCAGAAATAAATAATACTCCCCCAAATGTCCCCAGATTTGCTTAGACATTAAGGAAGATTAACTTCATGCTCACTATTATTTCTAGGTTCGGATAGATCTAGGTTCAAAGCTAAGTTGTCCTCACTTGCAGAAAAGTGCAAAAGATAATATAGGAGAAAGATATCAGTGTATTCTGTGACTTTCTCTCATTTCTTTGCTCTATCCTAATCGCCAGCAGGCTTCAAATAAGACCTCCATGCTCAAGGTTACTGAGTATTTCTTTTCTCTCTGTTAAGTCAACAAGGTCAGGATCAAATCTAGTGATTAGGTTAGGAAATGTCAAGAGCTTAGTGGGCAGATGAATTATTTGTGAAGGCCACACACACAAAACCCAAATATACGCGCTCTGAATTGGATGAGAAGCAAAAATACAAAATCTATTTTTAAACTTTACTTTGGACGAAATTCTATACCATGAAAGTGAGACTGAATGAATTCTGTAGGACTTATACTACTCATTTTTAAGACAGGGGACTCTTTGTAGTATTAAGCAGCTTTAACGCAAAGCTGAGTGTTATCAGTAACAAGTCAACGTGTGCTCTCTACTGGACAATTTGTATTACTACGTGTCACTTGGAATTTAAGAAGATGCATACTAACAATGGTGAAAACACAGATACATATTTCCCTTGAAGGACTCAATACAAAATAGAAATGTTCACATCCTATGCATAAATCACATCAATCTGTCCTCTCATACTCCTCTCCATGCTGGCAAATCTTAACTGAGCATGAGCCTTTGATGTGAATGGATCCAGTCTCTGTGTGGAATCCAGATTCTCCAAATATTTGGCCTCCTCATCACCTTTGAAAGCCAGAGTGCCCCACTAGGTGGAAGCCTAGCTGAAAAAGAATAGGACCACCAATTTAATTCTCCAAGGCTTGCTCAGGAGATTGTACCAGGATATGTAACAATTTCCAAAGCAGAATCCATGTTAACCTGCTGCAGTCAGAATGACAGGGTCCTGTGGCACCCTAAAGACTAACACGTTTACTATAGCAAGAGCTTCTGTAGATGATAAAGACTACTTCATCAGACCCACAAAGTTTTAGCCAGAATTTCAGATTCTAGCTAAAACTTTGTTCAGATAGAGCAAACATGGGGGTGGGGGTGAGATTACAAACACTGCAGTAAAAGGGAAATTAGATACATAATGTAAAGTAGTAGTTTTGTTGATCTGTTGAAGCAAAAACAACAAGTTCTGTGACACTTTAAAGGCTAACACATTTATGGTACTATTTGATTCTGACCATACTTTTGAGGGAATCAAAAGGTTCAAACAGAATAGTGAAGTTTCTCCCAGGGATTCACACATCCCTTATTGGTCATAATGTAATTCTGATCTGTACCTTTAAAAAAACAAATCAGGGGGAACTAAGTTTAAAAAAAGAATTATTTTTAAGAAACTGAAGCTTACTTGGTGGAAGAGGCTCATCAATGGTTGGGTATTGATGGTAGTCTGGCCTCAGGGAAGGAAGCTGGTTGACTGGCTGAGAATTATGGAGTAAAGGGCAATCACCTATGGATAAGACAGTCGAGATGTTCATGTTCATTCACGGATGTCATATTTTAGTTACAAATGTACTGCTATAAAAACAAATCACCAGAAGGACTAGAGATCAGGGCTAATGGCAATCTGGTTTATTAGCTACCTTAAGCTTTAAAAATAATTTCCAGGCAAAGAGCCATTGAAATATGAAGTCCAAAGGAAAGTCTTGTGACTTGATACACAGCAGGGAGTGATGAATTACAATCGGATCCCAACTAAAGGATGATGGGTTGGACTCAGTCCCCAACCTCACCTGATATACAAAGGTATTATGTAAGAAAAGAGAGAGAGAGAGAGAAGGTGAGAGATGGATCAGGACACAAGAGGGAGTGAGCTGGAAGGGAAATAGCAAACAAGAGAGGAAAGGTACACAGAGACTAAGATAAGTAAGAAATTTCAGAGCTGACAGAGAAGTAGAACTATTTTTTGAGTGTTAATATGTGGTACAGGTACTTCTGAATTTATGATCTGAACACCAATGTATGTAAGTTCTGACTACTAAAATATTTTGAGATACTTTAGCTATTATGTGTCAATATGTCATACTTTATTCCAGAAGGCACTATAAAAACTTCAGCAAACGTTTCTCCAGTCCCAGAAATTAACCCATTTTATCCCACTGCTTGTCATTTTACCTGCTTAATCAAGTATGTTATATAATAGATGTAAATAGAAAACAGCATAAAGTTACTTCAAGTAATCGTAACATCACCATAGAGGTTTATATAATTATTTCTAAGTCTAATAAATAAGAACATAATAATTGGTATAACTGTCAGGATTTTTTCTAGACCATAGAAATAGAGAGCATTTAGAATGAATGAAATGGCAATCCCAAAAATACTCATTTAATTGACACAAGGCACATTACTCAAATGTAAGTACTTTGGGTAATTTACCAAATAACAAAAGGCAAATTCAAACTATTGTGCATTTTTCTTATTTCTTTAAATAGCCAGGAAACTAAAACATTGATTATACCTGAAAATAATTTTAAATCCAAATGCAATACAAATATTTGTTTTCTAAGTAAACTGAGATGACTTCATTTGTCAATGGCACATTTCTTTGGTGGTATTACAATCACAAAAAGGGATGCCCCCAGCAAAAGCCAACTGAAGAAAATATAAATATAAATCACACTTTTCACATGCTAGGGAAAAAAGTGATATTAAAACTTAGTGTAAATTCTATCAGAATTTATATTCTTATTCAGCCTTACGATTATTTTATCAATCACTAGGCTTTCCTCCTGCTACTAAATTACTTCATTACTCACCTCAAACAGGCAACACCTAGTCAAATTGGACCAGAGTTTCATGCAACCTCAGTGAAAGTCAATGACATGGACCACCAGCACCAGGCTCCTCCGGTGAAGGCTCACACCTCATTAAGAGGTTCACAGCCAGACCTTGGAGGCTTCTGAATGTCCTCACTCTTGCTGTCTGTGGACCTGGCCTTTTCAAATGAACAAGTTGCTGTTGGATGATGGAAAAAGAGCAGTAGTGTCTCTACACTTTAGTCATTTCTTTGGCATGGACTGATTCCAGAGAAAAGAGAAACGTGTACAAACAGCAACGAGAGAAGGGGAAGATAGTGACTAGAGATGGCCCTGCTCACCCTCCAATCACTCCCGAGTACCATTCTCTTCCCTGTCTAACCACTCCTGGCTGAGTGGTTAGCTGAGCAGCGCTCTGAGGTGACTGGAAGGAAGAGAGGGGCTGCCGCCACCTGCGGACATGTGAGTGGATGGTCCGGCCCCAGGGCGACTGGAAGGAAGAGAGGGGCTGCCGCCACCTGAGGACATGTGAGTGGATGGTCCGGCCCCAGGGGACCATCCAGCTGTGCGGGGTTATTCATATTTATGAATACGAATACCCCATCTCTAATAGTGACAGTTTCAGAGAAGGGGGGGCCTACTGAGGCCATCTTGCCTAAAAGGCCCCTCTCATTCTATGCTCCACACCTACAGCATGGAAGGCACAGGAGTTGCAAACAGTGCTCCTCTTTCCAGTGCCACCAGGTTAATATGAGGACTCTTGATCACATGAGTACAACTTCAGTGTAAGGGTTAACCTCCAGCAAACTGGGATAAGGATGGTATGTGGAGTGGCTACAGATTGGGTTCAGGGCAAATTCACAAATGCATGTTACTTCATACAAACCTTCCCAGAGATATGATAATGCAGATCAAAATAAGTGACAGAGCCATCACAGAAAATGCCAACATTCCTTCAGTAATGCCTGCAAATAAAAGCTTTGCCTTTTCAGATCTGAAAAACAACTGACTAGTATAGCATTCTGCTTCAAATAAGAGTTAACCATATGTCATAAGTAGGGGGAGGATTTCTATGACATTTCACATTTTCTCTGAAACTTATATTTGAACCCCAAAGGAAGTTCAAACACGTGTAAAAGTAATCTGGCCTTAGTCACTAGATTACTCATAAACATGCTGAAATCCACCCATAAGCTAAAGCATAGGTTGCAGGAAAAAATGACATGTCACGGAAATCCTCCCATCGTAAGAGATGGCCAACTGTTTTTCATCTTGGTGCCAGGAGTTTCTGTCACAATACTAAGCATTTCAGCTAGGTATTTATTTCTGCCATTATTTGGCTCACATACTGCAAGTGTCCACACAACAAACATTCCAGGTTTACTGGATAGCTCAATAAGTTAAATATCTGGTTGCAGAGCCAGAGGTTGGGTGTTTAAGACACCACCGTGCATCCCAGAAGAACCAGCCCTTGTGGCCTTGGGCAAGCTGCAAAGTCCCAGGATGGCCTCAGAAGAAGGGAATGGTAAACCACTTTTGAATATTTTCTACCTCAAAAATCCTAAAAAGGGGGTTGTCATAAGTCAGAATTGATTTGATAGCACACAATTATATTTATTATTAAAAAAATGTCCTGTGTCAACAAGCTTTAGTCCTTAATGGATAAAAATGAGTACATCAAATGATCTGTCATGTTCTACTAACAAAAAACCAACACAGAAAGAATCATAGACTGTGATGTTGGTTTTTTTTCTGAAATGCATGGCCTGCTTTCCTATTCCTTAAAGAAAATATAAGAAAGCTAACAAGATGCATTAAAAAAGTCTGAGTGCACAAATGCAATACAAATTAAAAGTAAAACAAAAGAGATCCATAAAACAAATTTGGATGCCCAGATCAGATTTAATTTAACTAATTTTTGCTGCTAGAAAAAACTGAAGGACATGTGAGCAAAAGAAAGGGAAAGGCTGAAAAGTTAAGCTTCATTTCATTCAGGTTATTAGCATTTCCCTACAATGTTATTGGAGGATAGGCTTAATTCATCACATTGAGCTTTTTTTTTTACACAGTTCTGTGAATGCAAATTTCAGCTATTGCCATGAAGCCAAAGTCATGTGTTTGGCAGAGTTTATGTTACCTGGACACAGACTAAGATGCTGACACATAAAAGTCCTACTGAATAAGATCCTCACATGTTGCAAACTGAAGCAGCTTAATACACCAGATGAGGATGCAGCCTCTCTATAAACACACAGATACTTTCCTTCTTTTCCTTATCCTCTACACACACACACACCCACACCCACACCCACACCCACACACCACACACACACACACACACACACACACACACACACAGAGAGAGAGAGAGAGACAGACAGGCAGGCAGACAAGCAGACAGGCAGACAGCAGAATTTAGATGAAGTGGAATATACCACACAGAAAACTAAAGACCTCATGGAATAGCAGGGCAATAAGGCAGGCCTGGGCTCCCACTCTTGCACTAGAGGCATACTTTTAAATATCCTGACAACAGGAGAGACGAAGCAGCTTCAGATCCTTCTGTGGCCTTCTTTGTTTGTCCTGCCCTCCACTCTTACTCACCTGCTGTCGCGAGCAGGATGTAAGTGCCTCACACAGCAGGTGAGAGAGAATGGGTGAACATAAGGTCCAAAGAGGGAACAGGATCAGCTGCCTGGCCTCAAACAGCAACAGGTGCTTTTGTACTCTGTGTCTGGCATCTATGCTGCAATGTGGCAGCCATGATCTTTCTTGCATCCCCCACAGTGAACTACAAAACAGCCAGGGGTGTATGTGGACCTCATTCTTCTTTTGCACATTACACTGGAAGCAAAATAAAAGGAAGTTCAACTCAAGATTTGTTGTGCCACCTACCACTACCAGGAATCCAAATACATTGATGATACAAACAGTTGCTTTCTTTCTATTTCCCAAATGGAGCAACCTCCTTTGAATGATGAGACAATGATATTAGTTATAGCTCATAATGCTTAAGATAGATAATTAAGGTACCACTTCTTCAAGTCTAACCTTCTCTTCGGTTGCTTGGGCCTGCTACTGAAGCCTCTACATTTTCTGCTGTTCTCTGTAGAGTCATTCCATGAACTACCATTTCCTCAGGCCAGTGGGCAGAGCCATCGCCCTGGTCCCTGTCCAGCTCGGGGCTTTGTACTGAGTCTGGCACTGACTCAAAGGCACTGTTTTCCTCTTCCTCATCATCCTGAGAAGAAAACACTGTGCTCTCAGAAATCTTTGCACTGTCCACAGAGGAAAAACGAGTATGGCTTGAAAACCGGTTGGTACTACTCTCTTGACCAGAAGTGCTGTAACAGGAAGTGCTATAGCAGGAGGTGCTGTAACATGAGGTGCTGTAACAGGAAGGGCTGTAGCAGGAAGTGTCACACATTTCACACTCAGTGTCACCATTTGGCCTGGGACTCAGTTCACTCTCACTTTCAGTTCTGAGCCCTTCACCATCCAGCAGCTGCTCATTTAAATCAGCAAGATGCTCAACAGAGGTGCTGCGAGGCATTGTCCCCCGGACAAAGTTCTCTTCCACTGTGTTTTCCTGAGGAGGATCTGCCAATACTGTTTCAGTCTCACTGACCATGTCTTTCTCTGACACTTCCCTGACTGTCAATTCTTCCTCGTTCTCTGTCACACTGCCTTGTTCTTCCTCTCCTTCTCCATCATCACTGCTCATGTGAGCTGAAGGCAAACTGTGAAGGAGATTGTGTATTCTGATATAATGTGTACGAGGTGTCTCAGGCTCCCCACAGGCAGATGCTATCACTGTCTCAAGTTCTGACACAGGCAAAGAGCAAGGCCTGTTCTTCCTCTTCACTGTAGTTCTCAGCTGCAGCTTGTTCTCCTTTTCATCATTGTTCTCCTCTTGGTCCTCCTGTTGTCCCTCCTCCTCTTCTGGAGCTGAAGCCCCATCATCATCCTCTTTCTTCTCTAGATTCTTGACAACTTGCATATCTCCACTCACCTCATCAATAGATAGGGCTTCTATGCTGGTCATAATGTTGTCACTGTCTCCCTGAGTAACCGAATTGACTTTATTATTCTCCCTAACTTCTGATTCGGGAGGTGTGCATGCCAACAGAGCCAGTTGCTCAGTGAGGTCCACAGCACTCAGGGAAGACATCATTTCCCCTGGGATGGATTCCAAGGGATCAACCGTGTCTGCTGGCAATGCATCAACCTCCCCATTTCCTGCTAGCTCTTCTTTTAAGCAACTGTTCAGGGTGAGCTCCCCAGCACCAGAGCTATTAACATTGATGCAGATCATCGGGCATCCATTTAGCTTCTCTGGAGCTGTACTTTCTGAGCTCACTGTGCTGGTGCATGGGGGCTCACCAAGGATTTCCTCTGCTGAGATATTCATGGAGCTTTCCTGGAATTCAGTTGACTCAGGGTCTGCAGTAAGAGAGACCTCTTCATCATCTGCAAGAAACAAGAAGTAAAGAAATCACTTTCTGAAGTAACATAAGCTTCTGAACTATGAATACAGACAACATTGCATAGTGATTACATTAAAGGTTTAGAACTGTCAGGTGTTATTTACATTAACGACGTCCAAAACAAAGGAACTCCTCAAATATGTCAAAGAGATGAAACAACTGTACCAATATTCTTTACAATTAGATTAGCAACCGAGAACTCCCAGAAGTACAAGCTGGATTTTGAAGGGGCAGAGGAACTAGAGACCAAATTGCTAACATGTGCTGGGTTATGGAGAAAGCCAGAGAGTTCCAGAAAAACATCTACTTCTGCTTCATTTACGTAAAAGCTTTTGATTGTGTGGACCACAACAAGCTATGGCAAGTCCTTGAAGAAATGGGAGTGCCTGACCACTTCATCTATCTTCTGAGAAATCTCTATGTGGGACAGGAAGCAACAGTTAGAACTGGATGTGGAACAACTGACTGGTTCAAAATTGGGAAAGGAGTATGACAAGGCTATCTATTGTCCCCAGGCTTATTCAACTTATATGCAGAATACATCTTGCAAAAGGCAAGACTGGATGAATCCTGAGCTGAAATTAAGCTGGAAGAAATCAACAACCTCAGATATGCAGATGATACCACTCTGATGGCAGAAAGTGATGAGGAATTAAAGAACCTCTTAATGAAGGTGAAAGAGGAGAGTGCATAAAATGGTCTGAAGCTCAACATAAAAAAAAAAACCCTAAGATCATGGCCACTGATCCTATCACCTCCTGGCAAATAGAAAGGGAAGATATGGAGGCAGTGACACATTTTACTATCTTGGGCTCCATGATCACTGCAGATGGTCACAGCAGCCATGAAATTAAAAGACGCCTGATTCTTGGGAGGAAAGTGATGAGAAACCTAGACAGCATCTTAAAAAGCAGATATCTCACCTTGCCGACAAAGGTCCGCATGGTCAAAGCTATGGTTTTTCCAGTAGCAATGGATGGAAGTGAGAGCTGGACCATAAAGAAGGCTTGCCGCCAAATATGCTTTTGAATTGTGGTGCTGGAGGAGACTTTGAGAGTCCCCTGGACTGCAAAGAGAACAAACCTATACATTTTGAAGGAAATCAACCCCGAGTACTCACTGGAAGGGCAGATCCTGAAGCTGAGGCTCCAATACTTTGGCCATCTCCTGAGAAGAGAAAACTCCCTGGAAAAGACCCTAATGTTGGGAAAGAGTGAAGGCAAGAGGAGAAGGGGACAACAGAGGACGAGATGTTGGACAGTGTCACCCAAGCTACCAACATGGATTTGACCCAACTCCGGGAGGCAGTGGAAGACAGGGGGCCCGGTGTGCTCTGGTCCATGGAGTCATGAAGAGTCGGACACAACGACTAAACAACAACAAATCAAACAACCGTTTAAATTGCTATCTTGTCAGATGTTCCGCTCTGATGTGTTTGTTGGGGAGGAGATTCTTGAGATGTGTGTGGAGTCTCGAGAAACTTTAAATATTTGCTTCTGGATATATTAAATATGTAGCGAATATGTACTGTATATTAAAGATGCTACTCAGGGAATATTCTTGACTCTTTTCATGGACTATTCTTATGGACTACTCCTATGGACTATTCTTGTGGATTATTCTCAGGACAATGGGATATTTTCTTTTACAGGATTTTTCCTTTTGTACAGAATTTTTCATTTACAGGATTATCAAAGACTATGGACTTTTTCTAACATAATTGGACTATTTTGTTTTCCTGATGGATTTCCTTATTGGAACTGTTTTTATTCATTTTCTTGACTTTTTGAATTATTTTAATGTTTTTGGACACTTAGATATTTTTCATGTTTTCTTTACCTCACTACAAGTTTGTAATTAACCAGCATAATGTTTATTTGTTTGCTTTTGCATAATTTGACTTTTTCTTTAAGGAGCTTACTTTTTCTTTAATAAAATAATGATTATAAAAATCAATTGGTTTCCTGAACAGTAAACTTGTCATAGGTCATCTGATGGTGCTTGCCTTGGCCTTGCATACTTAAGGAGTCCTGCCTGTGGTGCATAGTATGTCTAAGGACTACAAAGCCCACATGGTTTTCTATCAGTAATATCTGAAGGTACAAGGGTGTTCTTATTAGGGCAGACTTGTAAGAGGGAGCTTTGACACGCCTAGCTGAGCTCTAGGACTCGCTCAGCACAGTGAAATTCTAGGCATGTCTATTCAGAGGTAAATGCTAATGAGTTCAACAAGACTAAATCTGATAAACATGGCACAGTAGTTATTACAATATTTTGTTACAAGAAAGATGGTATTTCACTGTTCCTACATACATGAAACAGAAGGAATAGTGAACAGAAATCCAAATTTTAAAATATACTTTTTGTGTTTCTCTTATATGTTAGGTTATCTTCATGCTATTGTTTTATTTATTGTCTTCTTAATGCAGCTGACACGTATGGCATTGATTAAATATGTGTCATGAACCAATTGAAGAGTAAAAAGTTATGTAAAATAATATATCATGAAAACAAATATTTTCAAGTTGCAAAATAGCTCTGTTTAGGTGCAAGTCAACATTTAAATAGTGACACAAAGTCACCACAAATCTGCATGGATGAAATTTTTCATGATATGTATCTCTCATTCCTTCACTATCTTTCCATATATTTATAAATTTATGAGATCCTGGTCCATCAGCTTTAGGGCCTTTATGCCTATGTTCCACCTTTCTCTTCCCCCAAGGAATCTGAGAAATAGTCTTGGTAGCAGGACCTGCCATCGCAGGGCCACTGCAGTGGTCCCTGCTACCTAGCAGAGAACACAGTGGCAATTTATCTTTAATATCATCCTCTCCAGCCCTGGTCTTTTCCTCTTCCCTAGCTCATCACTCCAAGCAACAAATGATCCAACCGCTGGAGGGTCCCTGGACCTCGAACAGCGAAGCTGGCCTTGCCTTCCACCCGGGATATCACGAGACGGATTAGTCTCACGTGATGGGAGGGGAAAGCCAGGGTATTTAAACATGGGGGGGTGCGTTAGAAATTGGCAGGAAATTCAAATGAGGCAAAGAGCCAAGCCACCAGCCCAGCAAATAGACCAAATGAAAACTGCAGACCAGCAGGACAGGCAGCAGAGTTAGCCAACAAGGAATGTAAAATATGGGTGGGTGGGTTGCAGTGCAAAAAGGCACAAGTATAAGGAAGACTGCTGGCTCAGTAGTCAAAGCTAACTTACGAAACCGCGCTTGCTCCAAGCAAGAGGCAGTAAAAGTGTGCTTTAACAATTGGTGGGAGATTTAAAAATGGACAAGAAACAAGCAGCCGGGGGTGAGCGCGGTGTAGATGGTGGGAAACTGAAATGACGGCCCCGTAACAAAGCACTGCCGGCAGTGTAAAGCAAGCAGGAAAGACGGAGGGGGGGGGGAACTCAAAACAAACAACATCCCAGGAAGCATGTTTTTTGGTTGGAAAGTAAGGTATTTTACTTGGCCACAAGAGGGTCATTTATTTTAAGTCACTTGTGAAATCAGTTTACTATGAATTGTTTGTGCATATGCATCTTCTGTCAATGTTAATTGTGTTTGTGGAGTTTGACAAATATGTCAGGATGCCAGGATCACGTATGTGTTTTGGAATGCAGGAAACCCTGCAGTCTTATTTGAAAACAGAGCCAGCAGAGAGAGAAAGGTTGGGAAGGGGTACGTTCTCCTGCCTTTTCAAGCCTAGAAGCTGTTGATTGTGTAACTCTCTTTCATCGGTTTCTCTTTGCCACTCCCTCTTGCCCTGTGCTGGCTGCCTCTCACAGCCACTCAATGTTGCTTCTGTGATGCTATTTTTAACTTTTTAAAAAATTTCTTGCAATCTAACATATTGCTAGTATGACAGATAGGGAAAAAAATCAAAACAGATCAAACTGCAGCCCAACAAATATGCATGAAGACAAACAGACATTCACACTCACATAGAGCAGGGGTCCCCAAACCCCGGTCCGTGGCCCGGTGCCAGTCCGTGAGCTTCCTTGAACTGGGCCACGGACACGGATCTACGTCCCCCACACACATGCACGATGGGCATGTCGTGCTTGCGGGTGGGCGTGTCACGCTTGTGGAGGGGCATGCCACGCTTGCGTGGTGGGCGTGTAGCGCTCATGGGTGGGCAGGCTGCACTTGCAGGCATGCGCACTAGCACAACATGCCCACCCCGCAAGTGCAACACACCCCTCTACAAGCATGACAAGCCCACCCACAAGTTCAACACACCCATCGTGCATGTGTGCAAGGGTGCCCCCACCACCGCGCACAGAGCCTGCACCCCCCAACCGGTCCGTGATCCGAAAAAGGTTGTGGGCCGCTGACATAGAGGGTGGAAAAGGAGAGACAGTGAAAAAACTGGCAGTCAGGGTTGCTAGAGTGAGGGCACACAGTGGGTAGCAGTGCTTGCTCCCTCTCTTTCTCCAACCCCCCATCTCTCTCTCTCTCTCTCTCTCTCTCTCTCTCTCTCTCTGTGTGTGTGTGTGTGTGTGTGTGTGTGTGAGCCTGCAGTGAAAGCTTGCAGTCTAATCTATTTTAACTTTTTTTCTGGCTGTGAGAGACAATCAGCACAGGGAGGGCAGGCACAGTACAAAGCCTCAACTGATAGATAAGACAGTTTAAAAACAATTTATAAGTTGATGCACACACTGATTCAAAAACTACATGTCTACCACACAACTTTAAATCCTCTGATCCTACTCCCAATTAATTTTCAATAATGCAACCATGCCCTTTGTTTAGAACAAACTATATTTGTTAATCAACAAGGAAACGCAGTTGTTCCAAAGTGAAATTAAAGCTCTTCTATAGCGTGCAAAAATGGAGCATGGAAGAAAAGTAGGAGAGAAGAGAGACAATTTACTGTTTTTCCCATGGTCAACTGAATAATAATTTAGTCTACTGTCTAAACCAGGCCTAAATGGAGCAAAGAGCTTTTTGATACAGACAGGGGAAATGTGGGAGATTACCTGGGTGGATTGATGATGTTATCTCAAACCGAAACTGTAACTGGCCACTGACATGATCAGTTGGCAGTCTACGTCCTAGAGTGTAGCTGACAACTCTGTCCCTGCATGGAAAACAACACAAAACAAAACACATGTAAGCTATTTATAATACTTTTACAGGACTGGTTCATGACTGCAATTAATATCACAATTGCATACAACCATTTTATTTCATATTCAAATATAAATTCATTAGTAATGATTAGAAATATCATTTTATTGGTGCATTGTTAAAGTGGAGCAGGCCATCCAGACATTTAACCAGGGCCCAGGACACACATACAAGCTGTTCTGAGCAGTTTTTTTACTTTTGCACTTAATGTTTCTTCTTCACAATCATAATTCTAAACCCTGACTGCAATCCTGTTCCCCAAGACAGTGTGGAGGGTCTTTTCACAAAGCTCAAATGTAACCCTCCCCGCCTCCTTTCTAAGACTTACCATATAGCACACAGCAGTCAGTTCCACTAGGGAATTCTTCTCCTATGGCCAGCCTGAGTATATCAGGGGACTGGGGAGAAGCAGGATACTGGATAGTGAGAAGTGAGAAGGCCTTAGTGAAAGATAAACAGACTAAGGTATCACTGTGGGTGCTGTACAGTGACAAAGATGGTGCAGGAGCAGCACTGTGAAAGACAATTGTGCTATTTTTTGTATGTGAAGAGAGCAAGAAAGTAGACCATGGCTTGGTTGAGTCAGATAATGGTACTCATTTGTCCTACGCTCAATAATAAGTATTGGCAATTTTCAAGTACAGCTTTATGCCATTTTATTATTATTATTATAAGCATGCTGCACAGCAAGGGTGCTGTGTGGGCTGCATTTGTCTGCCCCCAAAAGACCCATTGTCCCCACTTGCCGTTGTTACTGCCAAAAATAGCAGTCATCAACACACAAACAAAACAAAACCACCCTCTTTCTGGTATATCCTTCTGCTCTGGAAGGCAATACATTATTGACAACAGGAAACCTGGATGGCAGATTGCAAGAGATTCCCCATTATAAATGTCTGCATAGAGAAACTGCTCCAGAGAAGGAGGAAAATCTTTCCATCAGCAGGGACAGATTGCAGAAACATTAATCAAACTGGATGAGTATAGTATTATTTTATGGCTTTGGCTGAAATCCTGCAAGATATTTACATGAATACAAAAACTGCAGAAATGATTGCAGCTAATTGACTGGATGACATTATGATTTTCATTGTGGCCATAAACAAACCAGCTTTATGAATGTGGGATGCTGCTTCCATGTCAACTACGCAAAATGCTATACAGTGGCCAATATTGCCTTGCAATATTGCACCAGCTTTGCCAACAGGAAGATGCCAAGCTTTATTTAGCAAAGACAAGCCTGAAAGTTGATGATAAATTATCAGAAGATGTTCTGGAGGATCCCCTCTTGTGCTCACTCTCACTCACAAACAAGACACCAAGCAAGGAAAAATGCCAGAGCCTATCTTCTTTTTTATTCAGCTAACCACTTTCCCCCAATTGTCATGGCCGTTTTTCAGCATTTTCTCTAGCTATTCCTCTCTCCCTCACTTCTTTGTGGCTTCTCTCCCTCTCCAGCTCTCCCCTCTCTCTTTCTCTCTGTGTGGCTTCTCTATCTTTGCCTCATCTCTTTCTACCACTTCTCTCTCATGCTCTCACTTGATCTACACTGCCTACTCTCTGTGGGTGTTTATTTATTCAAAGAGGTTTCTGGTAGGATTAAAGTCCCAACCTACCATCTTGCTCAGAAGTAAGCCTCATTCATCTCAGTGCATCTCATTATTTTCCTGAAATAATGGAGGAAAGTTTGGGCAATGCCTACTGAATACTCACTTTAATGAGAATATACAGTCACACTTTATGAAAATTGTCCTATGTAAAATAAGCATATCTAAGGTCCCATATCTTCTAAATGACAGATCAGCTTTAAATTTGAAAAAAAGGTTACAGTATAAATCATTTCCTTTCAAAGTGTCTGGTTTTCAAAAACTAATTACCAAGCTTGCTGTTAGCCAACAGCAGCAACAACAAAAATGGTAACAGAACACATAAAAGGGAGATGAAGGGAGGATTGGAATTAAAATCAGAAATTAGATCTTTAAAAGTACTTGTTCAACCTTTTCCACATTTAGCACAGAGGAAGCCCAATCTGCCTAAAACCACTTTGCCAAATATGGTCCTGATACAATAACTCATTCAAAAGTTATAAAATTTTGTTTGGACTGATCCTGCCACCAAAAAAATGGCTTCTGGAATGATGCATCTCTAAATGTAATGTTTCTCCCCTAACACCAAGCTCACAAATGTTTCAGAACCACCATGTCATTTTAGTTACAACTATCATTCTCCTTTTCAGCACAAGACTGACACTTAAGGAACAGAAAGTTTTGCTGCACATCATTTACCCTATAGCATGTCTTTCCAGCAGCCGTTGCACTGGCATGGACAACTTCCCCAAGAAACGCTTAATGATCGGTCGGCTCTTTGCAAACTTGTCCTTCACCTCTATTTCCAGGACATCAGTGGGCAGTGAAACAAAACTGAATAGCTATAAAACAAAGAAGCAAGAATCACAGAGACAGAAAGGGGGAAAGGTTAGAGACGTCTTCTGTTTACTTTGGATGTGCTGCCTTAGTTCTCATCTCCCTACATGCAGTGCATGTGCCCAGTCATCACCATCTAGCTATTCAATGATGTCAGAGAGAAAAAGCAAAAACAGACCTAAAATTTCCCAGGGAAATTTTTTCAGAATGAATCTGAGAAGTAACAACTTTTCAACAACTCTCACAAAATTGTATTCTTGAAGGCTTTCACAGCTGGAATCCAATGATTGTTGTATGTTTTTCAGGCTGTTTGGTTGGGCTCTGCAGATTTTTCTTCCTAACATTTCGCCAGTCTATGTGGCCAGCATCCCACACACTACACCAGAACACAGACAGAGTTCTCCTTTCCTCTGAAGATGCTGGCCACAGAGACTGGCAAAATGTTAGGAAGAAAAACCTCCAGAACATGGCTAAATAGCCATCTCACAAAATTATCAGCATTCTTCAGCTTTGCATTTTGGAAATAGCCATAACTTCCTCAATACTCCAATTTAAAATATGGAGTGGAGAGGTCAGAAAATGGAGGAAGTAATGCAAAACCATTGTGAAAGGTTTAAAAAGCATTTTGAATATGAAATTCCATTGTTTCAGTGGCAGATAACAATGCTGGGGTACTTGGATTTTTTAAAAAAATATATAAATCATTGGAATGTGATTGAATGAACAATTGAGTCATGGACACGTGATAGAAGAAGTCAGAACACAGATGGCCCAGAGTGGCTTCCTTAAGATGAAAAATGCAGTAAGAAACAAAAACTTAGAACTGGCTTTGGGAACATACACTGGTTCTACACATTCTTGGTCCTACAGTCAGCCATAGCCAATTACAAGGAGAACGGAAGCATTTGAAGTACAGTTTTATTGCATCTTGCTAAGAATTCCCTGGACTGACAGAATGGCCAAGAAAGAGGCCCTGAGGTGAATGAATAAAGACAAAACAAAACAAAATAAAAAACATAAAATACAGAAAGCTAGAATACTTCGGCAATGTCACGCGAAACAAAATAAATAAAGATACAGATTATCATTCATGGTAAAATAAAAGGGAAAAGAAAAAGGAGAACAACTTATTGGCTGAACAACTTCTTGGATACTGGAACGGATGCAGCTTTGTTCAGAACTAGAGCAGCCAAAATGAATGCCATAGTGATAATCAGCCTCAAGCTGCAGAAGGAAACGGGTAAAATGGAATACGGGCCAAACTCACCCACATCTGCAGTGCTTTTCTCATTATCTACCACTATCCTCCAACTCACAGACTGCAAAAGATGCCTATAATGGTGTTATACAATGGTATGGCATCACTTTGATGGGGAACCCTCAGTTGGGGGGGGGAAATGGGAAGAACTAGAGCTTCTGGTTTTGTTTTACTTTACTCCAGAAGTCCACATCAGGGCAATTCTGTTTTCGTGTAGTTTAAAAGGTTTGAAGTGGCTAGCACCTCCACTTCTAGACTGATAGTAAATTTAGCCCCTTTGACTCTCCCATATTTGCCCCTTTAAAATGTCAATGTGAAATTTTTCCTCTGAAAACATTTGTCTCTCAGACATACCACTTACACCATTACATGTGACCTTTCCATAATAACTGAATATAAATGGGCTATATCTTGACCTGTTTGTGTGTGTGTGTGTGTTAGGGCACACGCACGCACGCACGCACACACACACACACACACACACACACATACAATATGATTTATTTTCGGTGTATATGCTGTATAGAAAGTGAGATGGAGAAAAAAGAAATCAGATTAAAAGGAACATTAATATTTGGATGTATCTAAAAGCTGATTTCCAATATGATACCAAGAGCCAAAGATTTCTGAAGCACAGTTAAGAAGAAATCGTAGTTACTGGTTTTCAGCTCAGGTTTTTTTCAGTTTAATTATGGGATTAGTGCATGAGAATATGGAGCGGTAGAACTTACAGACACTGGAATTAACAGATAAATAATTCAGATTTCAATTACTGTCAAGATTTAATTACCATAGGGAAAAAATGGCATGCAGATAAATATAGTATTCAAAAATGTGAGTGTCACAGTGTAAAGCCACTAATACTGAGAGACATTCAGTTAAACATCTCTATGTTATTTCCTTGTATAATCAACAGTTGATTTTGTTTTCGTTTGTTAAAAAAAAAGATTATTAAGGTCTGAAACTTTCACATACAATGTCAAGACAATTCTTTTACCAAAAAGACCTAATCTGGTACATGGTCATAAGTTAGGATGTTGCTATCTGAAATCTTGCTTTACCATGTATGTTATTCACCTGAAGGTCTTAATCAAAATATTTTTCAGCCATGGAGATTTTCTACCTCACTAGATGAGTATGAGGATGAGCGAGATATCTTATCTGAAGCAGTGTGAACACTATAGGGTGCTACATATAATGAAAGAGAAAGTGAACTTTCTTCTTTGTCTCATGTTCCTTAAGCCCATTTTTGCAATATAAATCCAAAGGGGAACAGACTGTAGGATGCAAGAATGCCTATACTGTATACCGGTCAGGGTTCAGGTACAGTCTAAATTCCAGTGGCCAAATTCATCTTTCACAAAGGTAGACTCTCCAACCTATTAATGGCCAGCAGTCACTAAAAAAGCATGATCAGGCACAACTTTGATATAATGAGAAACTTCTTTTCTCATCTCTTCCTCCCCACATTATCCTCACAACAATCCTGGCAAGTTAGCCAGACAGAAAGAGTTTGGCATAAGATTGTCCAGTGAATTTTATGGTACAATAGGGATCTGGCTCTTCCAGGTCCCTGTCCAACACCCTAATTATTATATTAAATTGGCTCTCATTATTAACAGGGACCTCCACATTTTCTATACAATCATACTCCCAATTCTGCACAACAAATAATTCAGTCCCTTTACTCTGCCAGAGCAGCTGTTGTGTCTCACAGGTTTTGAGGTTCTGAAGATACTCTCTGCTATTGTTAACTAATGTGACTGGCTGGTTAACTCGGCATACTGAACTATGTCATCTTTTATTTGCCTATTATTTGCCAATTCAGATCAGATATCCAGACCATTTCCCCCACTGTACCACCTACAGCAGTTCTGACTATGATTTTAAAAAACTAATTAAGTATCGTAGGGCATCCTTGAGTGCACACGGAGTTATACTGCAATGAATAATACATATCAAGAGCTTTGTGTGTGTGGTCTTGTGCGTGCCTAATTATGATGTTTTTTTTTTTAAAAAATAGACGTTAAGAAGCAATAGAAATCTTCTGTTTCTTTGCCTGTGTCAATTGAAACCTCTACTTAATTTGGATTTCAACTTCTTATGCTAACAATTATAAATAACTGACGTTGAGAAGGGTTGTTGTTTTCTTAAAAAAATAATTTTTAAATTTTTTTAATTAAACTAATATGTATTATGGAATTTAAAAGTAAGGGCAAACAAAGAAGGAAGGAGCCCTATTCCACATCAAATCTAAGAAGAAAAGAGTCACATCAGGACTACGTCTTATTACTGACAGAAAAGAGAATAGGTGTGTCACTTTATTTTGCATGTAGAAATATAGATTACATATATTGGCAAGCTGGATATTTTCTACACAGTTCTTCATAAAAAGAACTTTTATAAATATTTGTTGATGTTCAGTATTCACATACAAAATTAAACCACGACAATTTGCATACACATCAGATATTCTAGCTTTACCTTTTAAAACAGCTAATTCAAATGCATGAATATTAGGATGTTAGTCTACACCCATTTATGTCCTAGACCAAGACTACATCTGCCTTTTTCTCCAGGCACTTGCTTATACTGTAACATATACTTTGTTACACAAAAATATTAGACACCACTCCTCATGCCACATGATCAGGGTCATGGCAAAGATTTCTAAGCAGGTAACCATGTCAGTCTACTGCAGTAATGGTGGCACCTTAAAGCTGAGCAGAGTTTATTTCACATGAGGTTTCTTGGGCATAACCCACTTTTTCAAATGCATGGAGTACAATATTCAAGCCACAAGCTAATATGCACGCTGATACAATACTGTATATGTAGCTGGAATAGAATGTAATAAGGTACAGAAAATGGCAGCTGTGTTATAGTAGGAGTAATAGGAATATACTTGTCCACAAGTTTTTAACTGCCATTCCCAGAATTATCCAAAAATTTCAAAAATTGCAACCCAGAAACCCAAATCAGCACACCTGTATGTTTTGCTACTCTAGAGAAGTGCTTTAGAATATCACGGTCACCCTCTATAGAGCCTAATGGACAGTAAGACCAGGAGGGTTGGCAAGCATCAGGGCAGGTGTTTTGTTTATGTTTCTACAAATCCACAGAAGGAAGTAAAAGCGATGGTGCAGGTAAAAAAGAAAAACACCAGAGCATTGCTCCAGAGGGAGAAAACCTGCAGGTGCTGATTTGAACCTGTGGGCTGCAATTCCTGGAAATTTTGGAATTGTAGTAAAAAAACATGAAATAGCATAACTATTAGCATCAGTCATAAATTGTCAGTGGGGTTAAAAATAATAACATCATTGACACAAGTCAATTACCCTCAGAGGTGTTACAGCAAGGATCTCTACTTTCAATGGAATGTCTGTTTTAGTAAGACTGGAAACGACATGCTCTTCTCATAATCCTGACAGAAAAATCATTTACACCACTTACAGTAGGGTAGTAATACCAACAAACTTGCATGGATAAACTGCTCAGTGTATACAGTAATGAGATTAGAAGGCCCTGTACTGTATTTGCTCAAGCTAAGAGAGGTGTAACTTGATGTACTTGTGTTCAGCTGTTTCCCTGTAGAATCTGTCTTTGAAGTTATCTTGTTCAAAGAAGGCAATGCTGAGTTCAGAAACTGAGTTCTTGGGAGGCCAATGTGTACTCTCACTGGCTTCTGAATACTAATTCTTTCAATGTCTGTTTTGTGTTCCTTCGTTATAATTTTTTCCCCATAGA